CGCCAGAGAGCCCCGAGGAGAGGCGTCGTGTGCCTAGCAAGTGACAACTTGTAAACCAAATTACCGATGGCGTTCCATTCCGCTCGTAATGGGGTGTCAGGCCCGGTTTGGTGTCCTTCGGGTTCCGCACCAGGAAGAGCTCTTCGCCAAATTTAATCCGATGAGCAGCTGGTGCTGTTGCTGGCTATGGGCAAAGTGTCGAAAAGTGTGGGGAAAATGGAGGGTCGTGATGGTAGCAGGCGTAGCAGGGGTGGTGGCGGATGAGGGTGAGGGTGGGAGGACGAGGCGACGGAGGCACCGCGAGGTCTAACAGGCGAGAGGTGAGACAATCCGATCGGCGGTACTGTGGTCAACGACAACAGTTTTTTGGTTGCGCTATGGGGCGAAGCTCGGGATTGAGAAGAATAAGTGACACTTGAACGCAACTTTTCTCGTACGACAACGTCATTTTATTACCAGAGCGACACTCTTACTTGCCCTTGCCCTTTCCGCCCCTTCCGGAGGTCGTGGGGCATCTTCCGGAACACCTGCAGCTGGCTCCGTGCACGCCTGTAATCAGCCGTTCAGTGGAGACACACATATTTGGCAGTGAAGAAAGTCGCCCCGGCTAATAGCCCCCGGTAACGTGCCACCGTCAGTCAAAACTTTAAAAATTGTTGAAAAAATAACCACAAGGAAGAATAAGTGTGGAAATATATCCATCCAAATGTCACCGTTCTAATTCAGATTGTAGCTGTTACCTCGTAGAGCAAGTGGTTAGAATTTGAGTCAGTTGAGCCGGCGGTGCAAACAGGCGTAACGGCTTGTGGGCCAGGCATAGTCACTTCTAATCGAATATACGCCGAAATACATCGTTGAATGACAAAAGTAATTACATTTTCGGATTCAGCGTTACAAAATCAAACTGCACGTGTTTTTTGTTTTTTGAATTGCGTCCGATTTTATGAGAAATCTGGAATTGCATCCAGTCAGTCTGCGACGTTGCGCTCGGCGAGCGACTCAGAAGGTCTAATAAGCTAGTTGAATTCCCCGTTCGGTAACTCCAGTGTGACGGGGGTGTAAAGGCTCGAACGATCACAGCACCTATGGTCCTGAAATGAATTCATTTTCTTCTTCCTCTGTTAGCTGATGTACTTATCAAACTGTTTTTAAATAGTAGACTTTTTTTGCAGCGAATATTTTGTGCCAAATCGTGTCGCACTGAAGGGGGATGTTCAGGCCTCGGGACGGGCCGCCAGTTTCACACGGCTGCTTGGCGGGTTTGCCTACCCCGTGCGTTGCAGGCGCTCATCACCAGTGTTGTTTCTGGGTGCCACTTGGGACTTGGGGCCACTGAGTGGGCGGCGGTGGGGGAGGTCATGTCGTTGCGCATTTGGTCGAAAATGCAGTAAACAAATAATACATGGTAAACACAAATATTTGCGGCTGCATCTCTGCAGGAGAGGCTGGAGGGCGATCAGACAGCTCTTCGGTTTTCGACTTCCAGCTCCAGCTCCAATTCGGGATTCCCCAAAACTGAAGTAATTTTCTTTGAAAGTCTTTCCTTTTGAGCCTTTTTGAAGTCGTAACCTGCGTCTTTCTCGCCTTCACCTAAACAAGACCTAAATCCAATCCTAAATTAAGTTTTTGCTCTTCGTCGTGCGAATAGCACTGCATGTACGACACAAGGGAGACCCTACCGGGCCGTGGAAACAACAGATGAAAAATCCAAAGCACTGCAATAACCTGAATAGTATCTGGGGGAATATACATCTGATTTTAAATTCATGTTAAATTTGTTTTCGAAATGGATGATCGCTTCAGAAGAGAGGAAGAGGACTTCTTTCGTCGAAATAGGGGGCTAAAAGAGTAGGTCAATTCTATTCATTGTTATAATCGCTAAGTTTACTGTTTTTGTTGTCATGATTGACAGAACCTCTTAAGCTGAATCTTACTTTCTTGTTGACCCATGTATTTAAAAGATTACATAGGGAATTTTGTTTATGATGTTAATTTATTTACAATAGATTTGGTGACTCTTCAAGTGCTTCTGGTGGCCACCAGAGTAAGAAATTCACCAACTTTCGCAACAGGAAATCGCACCGTGGTAAGCTCCCATCCATTTAGAGAAGATGTTTGTCCATAATTTGAATTTCATTTTATCATAATAAACTTTTAGGTAGTCAGTCACAATCATATTCCGAAGATGGGCCAAGTACGAGTCAAGGTTGGAGAGGGAAACGTGGAGGAGGAGGAGGAGGCGGGAGAGGTCGAGAGAGAGGAGGGCGTAGAGGAGAAGGTGGTTATTCTAGAAAAGAGGATACGCAAGGAGAGGCCCGGGGAGGGTTTAAGAGACATCCTCCTCATTTAAAGGGTAGAGAGATTGGTGAGTCCTGTGCTGTGGTTTTTCTTTGCTAATTTACTACTTATCTGACTCATCTTTCAATTTGCAACTTTTAGGTTTGTACTATGCAAAGTTAAGCAAAGCAAAGAAAGAAGCAGAAGGTGGAAGTGAAAGGAAGAAGCGTGATTATAAATTGGAAGGGGTGAGTTGTTGGTGACTGCATTAATGCAAATATTTGCTGATTTGTTCTTCTAATTAATGATTTATTGTCATATGTTTTTAGGGAATAACTATTGCAATTGATCCAAAAAAAGAGCAACAGATTCGATCCATGCTGCTGAACCTGCCCCAGCATTTAGCTTGCTCCAAATCTTCAGCGTCATCAAGTGTGGATGTCAAAATTGAACCGTAAGATACTTGTGTGTTTTATAGTGTTTAGAGTTATGTCGCCATTTGGAATCCCTAGTCTAAATACACTTATTTACAGAGGTTGCTCCTTTGAGGAAGTCCGTAAAAAGCCTGAAACACTTCAGAAAGTGAACAGTTTAGATGACGTTTCAGCGGCAAGCAAGTATAACCACCTGCAAGATAGTCATTTCAAAACAAATTTTTTGAGAAGTTTGACAGAATCAATTGATAGTAAGATTGAAAGATTACTTCAACGGCATATTGTAGGTTCCCAACTTCCTAGTTTTGGTTGAATCAGCTAACACTATATACTAGTATACTACCATTTCTCTTTGTGTTTTTCTGCTAAGAAATTGAATTTTTTCAGGCCCTTGAACGCAAGCCTTCTGTAGACAAGAAATTAAAGGATTTGCTTCTAGATAAAAAGAACAATAACCAAAGATACATCAGTATGTATGAAGGGAGGAAAAAATTGCCCTCATTCCAAATGCAAGATTCAATTTTAAAGCTTATCCGAGATAATCAAGTTGTTGTTATTAGTGGGGAAACAGGTATGCGCATAATACTAAATTATTTTCCTATAGATGTATTGATAAGGCAACCTGTTCCTTGTTTTCAATTAACTTGTATATTTTCAGGTTGTGGTAAAACTACTCAAGTTGCTCAGTTTATTCTTGATGACTTTATTCTCCGAGGTGATGGTTCGTTGTGTCGAATTTTATGCACACAACCCCGTCGTATTAGTGCAACTTCTGTTGCTGAACGTGTAGCATGTGAAAGAGATGAAAAGATTGGCTCCATATCTGTTGGGTACCAGATCCGATTGGAGAAGTGAGTGGAAATCTTCTACACATGTTAAAAGTTAATACATCACTTTCTACATTTTTAAACCACTGACTCTTACTATCTTTTCTGTAGGGCTGTTGCACCAAAGCAGGGATCAATTTTATACTGTACAACAGGAATTCTGCTGGAATGGATGCAATCTGATCCTTCTCTTGCCGATACTTCTCATATAATTCTAGATGAAATTCATGAAAGAGATACAGTTTCAGACTTTGTAATTACTCTACTGAAAGATATCCTACCAAAGGTATAGTTGAATTGAAACGGAAAAGGGTTGATTGAACAACTACACAACAAGCATGAGAGATGTCTAAATGAAATGATCAAACAAATCTCTTTTACAGCGTCCAGATCTTAAAATAATACTTATGAGTGCAACCCTCAATGCTGATCATTTCTCTCGGTATTTCAATTCCTGCCCATCCATTAACATTCCGGGTTTCACATACCCTGTTGAGGAATTTTACCTTGAAGATGTCATTGAAATGTTAAAGTAAGTTTCAATCTCACCTTTGTTTTATACCAATTTTTTCACAATTGTGGTTCAGAAAAGTACCAATTGTAGTTGTGATTTCACAACCATTAATATATGTTCTTTTTAGTTTCAAGTATCCACCATCTAAGAAGAGGCAGAGGAATGAAAGCAAAGAATTTGTGGAGATTATTGGCCCTTTCATGAGGTATTCATTTCATATTACCAGCTGGGTAATTGTTCTGTTTTTATTGATACTTTAACTTAAACATAACCTTTTCAGGTCATTAGAAAGAAATAGGAAATATTCTAGAAGTACTGTAGAAGCTTTACAAAATCCTTTTTCGGAAGAAATCAATTATGATTTGATGTCAAGGCTGATCACTGACATTTGTAAGAATAAACCTGATGGAGCAATTCTTGTGTTTTTACCTGGTTGGGAACACATATCCAAACTTAACACTGCATTGACTTCTTTGGATTACTTTAAATCTTGTGAGTTGCCCTAGAAGTTACCTAGAATTTAAAATATGTTTTAAAATATATTTAAAAAATAAAATAAAATAGGGTTCCAGTGCTTACAGTTCAAATAATTGCATCTGCTTCCTATTTCAATTTCAGCCAGATTTAAAATTATTCCTCTTCATTCTCTCATGCCCACTACTGTCCAACGATCAGTCTTTGATCGGCCACCTCCAGGTAATGACTTAAGTTTTCCTTTTTAAGAATTTCTTTCAAGGGGCATTACTTGTTAACATATTCAGTGCGGCTCGTTTTTCGTGCCTATGATTTAACGTGGGAGCGAGACCACTATGTAGTCACGTCACACTGAACATGTTAAAATAAGAATATTTTGAAAGACATCTTTTCCTTTGATCTGCTTACCCATTATCTTTTCAAATATTTATGTTTACTCTGTTTTTAGGAACTAGGAAGATTATAATTGCTACTAACATAGCTGAAACATCCATTACAATTGATGATGTTGTGTATGTTGTGGATTGTGGAAAGATTAAAATGAAGAATTATGATACAGAAAATAATATTCAAACCCTTAATCCTGAATGGGTGTCTCTTGCCAATGCCAAGCAGAGACGAGGACGTGCTGGCAGGTAAGAAATTGAAATTATCTACTAATCATTTACCAAATATAGGAAATATTATTTCATTCGATCTAATAATTTTCTCTCTTTCACCTGTTTTTCTCTCTCAGAGTACAGCCTGGTATCTGTTACCATCTTTATTCTAAAGGAAGAGAAATGACTTTTGAAAGTTATCCACTACCTGAGATGTTGAGGTCACGTCTTGATGAAGTCATAATAAGAGCAAAAATGTTGCAGTTAGGAGCAGTCCGCCCCTTCCTTAATCGTGTCATGAATCCTCCAGATCCTTTGGCCGTTGATCACTCCTTAGAGGTATGGCTTTTGTTTCTGCTTCTGTAAATCAGTCAATCATGTCATATTTTTTATTTGTTATCTTACATCTTCTTTTGCCCTACAGTTACTAACATTGATGAATGTGTTAGATTCAGATGAGAATCTGACTCCACTTGGCTACCACTTAGGTAAACTGCCAGTAGATCCTCACACAGGGAAGATGCTTCTCATGGGTGCTTTATTCAGCTGCATTGATCCTGTGTGCTCAGTTGCGGCCAGTCTTAGTTTCAAAGATGCTTTCATGATTCCTCTTGTAAGTTTTAGTTAACTAGAAAAACTGCCATTAAATTTTAGGGGAGCTGAGAACTGTACAGTTTTCTTCCAGGGCAAAGAAAAAGAAGTTGACCGCATAAGATTGGCATTATCTGAGGGACGCAAAAGCGACCTCCTGCTTATTGGAGATGTTCTCATACGATGGGAGGAAGAGTGTAAAAGAGGAAGAGGTGGCTCTTTTTGTTGGGAAAATTTTCTCTCTCAAAACACTTTAACAATGTTGCGGTAAGACAAAGTGAAAGTACTGACCCAAAGTTGTTCACAATGATTACAGTCTTAATATTTTTTAAATCTAACTTTCTTTTTTATTGCTTTTATTTTTGTAGTGACCTGAAGAAACAGTTTGTCCACTACTTACATGACATGAAGTTTTTGCAATCTAGTAATCCCATGGACTATGCTTCAAATGTGAATTCGAACAACGCAAGCCTGGTGAAGGCCATAGTATGTGCAGGATTATACCCAAATGTTGCCTACCTGCAGTATGTGAATTTTAAAATATCTCGCCAACTATCTATGTATCTATCTAAACCCTGACTGTTTCAAATTTAACAATCTATTTGTTTGCAGTAAGTGTCGGAACATTGGGAATGGAAGAAATGTCAAGAGGCTAACTACTCCCCAAGATGGTAGAGTAGTTATGCATCCTAAATCTGTTAATGATAAAGAATCATATTTTCCCAGCCCTTTTTTTGTATACCATCTAAAGTTAAAGAGTGCAAATATTACTCTTCATGACACTACAATGGTTTACCCTCTTCCAATATTATTTTTTGGGGAAAGCCTTAGATTTTTTGTTGAGGATGGTCGAGAGAAAATAGCTGTGGGAAAATATTTTCAAATGAGATGCAAAAAGTCAATAGCTTCTATTGTCATGGTAAGCAATGCCTCTTACAATTGAATGAGCTTGTGTGCAAGTAAGTTTTTTGATTTATTTTTGATTTATTACATCTTTCAGGATCTGCGTGAGCACATGAATCGTTTATTAGAATATAGAGCAAGCCATCCAGATGTTATACCCTGGGAAAATAAAAAGGACCCACACACAACTCTCCTAAGGTATACTTTTACTTCTCTACTACAGCACTTTTTGTGACTTTACATATTGATTAGAGTAAAATTTGTATATTTCAGGGCCATAGTTGAGCTTATCACCTACGAAGATGCGGGTGTTGTGATGCAGGAATCTAGTGACGAAGAAAGTGATAACAGTGATGTTATCATCGAAAGCATTTCAGATGGAGAATGGTAACTTAGGCAACCCTCAATGTGTAACTCACAGTTCTAGTCACTACTTACATGAAAGGGGTTGAAGTTATGAATTGATTTGTTGCCCTTTTAAAGATTTTTTTTCGGTTCACAAAAATACATTTTTACATGCAGCAATATGTGAAGTGAAAGCAAAAAGACATTGTCATATACAAACCATAGAAAATTCTTCTAATCTTAAGATTACAAAATTGTATTATCTGAATACAATGTTCGAAATTCAATCTGTGCTTCTTTCTCAATATTTACACATTACTGTTTGATAGCAGGATCATATTACTTAACTTGATCAAAACAACTACCTGCCTCTCAGTTCACCTGATTCTGATTTATTTTACACCAGTAAGAATCTAGTTCCTTTGCCTTGTACTATTCTCCCAAATTTGAAATACTATGCCACAACATGTATGAAATTATCTTCCATTCAAGGGGAAAAGCAGCATTCTAATTATAGATAAGAGCACCAAAATGATTCAGACTTATTTGTTAACTCAAATTTGAACAAATTAGAATTAACTTTTCCTTTTTCAAAATTTTCATTCATTCAACATTTATTCAAAAATTAACTCTAATAAAATAATCTTCCATTACTTAATATACATTAAAGAATTACATCAAAATTACATAGTACTTGTATTTTTGGAACCTTGGTGCCTATGTATACCATGATCGACTTTCAGGTTCTACTACAGGTGTGCAACCTACTTAATCTGGAAACCATGCACTCAAAACATCTTGAGATAAAAACGTTTTACAAAGAGTGAAATTATTGAACCTTTCGGCAGTAAACTCCAAGGCTTTTGCATTTCTCACAGAGATGTTGGGGATGGACTTTACTTTGATCGGAAACATCCAGGCCATCAGGTTTTTCTAACGGCCTCTGCAATGAAAGAAAATACTAATAATTATTTTGGGTAGTTATTTCTGCCTTGGAAAAAATATGAGATGATAGTTGCATTCACCTGTTTATGAGGATATACATTAATATGACACTTGATACACTCCTGACCCATATTTGCCCAGCTATTTCCAGACATCCATTTTCGCTTACACTTAGGGCATTTGTACTCTCCAAAACACCTCTTCTTGCCTTGGTATGGAGTCAGGCCTTCCCCCTTCGGCCGCGCCTGTACAACACAAGAAAGGCAGTTCAGAAGAGTCGAGCCAAGCAGAGAGCAACAAGACAAAAGAATAGCTAAGTTTTCGAGGTAGAAATTCCATGTAAAATCCGCCTTAAAGTTAAAGGTGGGTTTACGACTACCCTCAAAACCATGATTTCTGCTTTCCGTAAAACATTGTCCGCCCTTCATCCTCCAATCCTTCCTGGCCGTGCTACTCGTTTCAATCAGTCTCCCCCTTGACCGCTTGCTTCACTTGCCCCGTAGTGCAGCCCCTTACCTGCTTCGCAGCATGTTTCTGTGGCATTCTGGACTTAATTCTTCCTGCTGCCTCACAACCCAACACGTTAGCAAACCCACCGCCAACTGAACTGTCGGCTAAGCCCGTCCTTTAACAAAGCTGCAAATTTACCATGGCGACACAAACGGCTGTCTCTGAGTCTTTAGGCTGCTCCTTGCGTCAAGTCGGCGATGCCTTATCTCCCTCGTCTCCCTCTCCCATTCTCGTACAGGGGAATACCTCAAGCAGCACCGTGTTGTTGTGGCCTCACCTGGGGGCAGTCCTTGATGTAGTGCCCCTTGTTGAAGCACAGGTGGCACATGTAGGCGTCGGGGGGCGGCTTGACGGCTTTGCCGGGGCTCAGGGCCACGTCCAAGTTGTCCAAGATGCTCAAGTCCAGCATCTGATCGGCGAGCTCCCCCAGCGCCCCCCAGAGCGCGCCCAGGTTGGCCTGGCCGGGGGCGGCACCCGGCCCGGAGGCGACGCCACCCGCGCCCGCCTTGAAGAAGGGCGCCGGCACCGCGTTGGGGAACGGCCCCCACATCTGAGGCACTATCCGCGTCTCCATGGCCTGCGCGACAAGCAGATCACTCGTTAGAATATGGAGGTGGGGGGGGGGGCTCTCACGTGCCGAGTGACCCTCTTTCTTCCCGCCCTGGCCACGGACACGTCACGCCCAGACTTTAGCCGCGCCACGCCGGTCCGCGCTGTTGCCGGCGGCGGGGGCGCCATGCCAGAACACAAACAGAAAGCGAAATGGCGTGGAGGAGGGGGGAGGGGGGCTCAATTTCGTGGGGCATGCGGTGGCCCTGGGGGTTGGGCCGCCAAACCACCGCCGTTAAACAAAACGTGGCCGAGGCTACTCCACTCTTTGGGAAAAAAGGAAAAAGAAAACACCAAAAAGAAACCAGACCCCCCCCCCCCGGGCGTTCAGTCCTAAAAGAAACATTGACACCAATCCCCGGAGCGAGCCCGTCCAGGATCTCGGTCGTGGCGCAGCGTGGTCTCCGCGGTGTCGCGTTGCGCCCTCGGCACGGGAGCTGATAAGCCTCGGCCCCGGAAGTCGAAGCGAAGCTGCGACCGCTTGAGACCTCGCGCTGACCGCTGGCGGTGCTGTGAGGTGAGCTGATTGTGAGGCGAGGTAGGCAGTCCCGTCACGCACGACGGCACGCCACGCTGCCTACCTCCGAGGCTGACAGCGCTGGGACCGGAGCCCGACCAGAGCGGCACCTTGCAATGCGCCCGCCTAGGTGACAACTTGTCGTCCGAAAGCGGCTAGTTGGACTAAGATTTTCTCGCTCGCACTCGTTTTCGGATGCCAAGTACGAGGCCAAGTAGGCATCGGATACCCGCCCGGTGCAAGGCTCTGGGTGTGGACGGTAGCCGGAGCTCTGTCCGGCGCGCGCAGCGGTCGTGGAAGTGCGTCGGCATCGGGGCCGAGGCCAGACCGACCGGGGGGCCATGTAGCAGGACCACAGCGCGCTATTCCATGAGCTCAATTAAAGTGCGCCGCGCAGGGCAAGGGGGCCGTCGCCGCCGCTGCCACCACCGCGGCAACAACAAAGCCCGCAGCCCGCTGAGCGCGCCGGCCCGGGTCCCCGGGTGACGTCACTGGCGGCCCACTCTCACTGGACGTGGAGCAGCAGGCGCAGACCGCGGCGAGGGGTGCCAGGGCTTCTGCACCCGACCCCGGCCGTCAAGCTGTCATGGGTGCCTCCATTCCCTCAACCATGAGGCACTCACCGCCAGCTGATCCAAGCCCGCGTTGCCGCCGGGGTCGTGCGCAGCGTGCGCGGGGGCCAGCGGTCGGAGCGGCGACTGCTTGTCCACGCGCATGTTCATCCACCCGTAGGAAGCCATGGTCATGGCCCCGGTGCGCACGAGGCGACGTCCGCGGCCGCTGCCGACTTCATCTCTGGCAGGTCCAGCCGATTCGGCGGCCGCCTCACCTGTCGATCTACCTGACGGCGGTCATGGTTCGGAAAGCGCCGCCCAAGTCAGTGCCAACATGCACAAGTGTGTTTCGCCGCGAAGGGGTGTGGTGGTGTCGGTGTCGAGCGCGGCGCGTCGCTGGGCGCGGGGTCCACGTCGCGGTGGCGGGGAACGGAGGAACTCGGCGGACTGCCGCCCTGGCCTGGTGGCTGGCACTGGCGAGCGGAGCGGAGCGGAGAGAGAGGAAGATGCAGAGCAGTTGGCCGCCCGCCCCCCTCCTCCCCCTACTAGTGCGTCGGCCCCCCTCGCCTCCCCTCTCCCCCTTCAGCGTCTGACCGCCCCGCGGCGGCCGCGGCGCCGGTTGCATGGCGGCCGGGCTCACAAACTCCTGCGCCACCCGACCCCTAGCGGGCCCCACGACGAGCCCCTCCCTCGCTCCTGCCAAACTCGGCAGGAACCATAAGCCCCCGTTATGGACCGCGGGCCGGCCTTGGTTAGGCCCTCTCCACACCCTCAGTTTCACGACTGCCCACAACACCGTAAGAAAACGAACACGAACACGAACATGCCATAGTTTTGCGAATACTAAGTCCCTTGTGACGCGACTGCAGGGCACCCGCTCCCTCCCCTCTCGCATAAGCACAAGGCCTCATTGCCGCTGTGATTGCCCTGTTTGTAGCGTCTCGTGATCGGCGATCGCCCTCCGCTGCGGCCCGAGGAGCGCACTCAATGGCTCCGTCCCATCAATGAGCCGCACTGTACGTCCTCCCGGCCATCCCAGCCCAGCAGCACGGGCCTCGCCGCGGCTCGCCTCTCCTCGCCTCGGCAGCGCATTCCGCCCCGACACCATCTCATCTCCATCTCCGCCTTCGCTGGCTTTCCTCCCCTCTGCTGCCCCCCGCCCCCGCTCCCCTCCTGCGCAGCGCCGTCTATTTGTATCCCCGCCGGGTGCGCGCCTCGGCCGGCGGGCGGTCGTACGCCGCGTCGGCAGGCGCGGGTGCCGCGGGCGCGGGGTACGCACGTATGGCGTACGCCGCCGTGACCGCACGGGCACGCCGATTGGTTTTGTTTTGCAATCATCAACGTGCGGCGAGGGTCACAGAACTGTGGCGGCCCTCGCCCGGTGCCACAACACGCAAGACACCCTGGACGGTGCCGCGGCCAAAGGCGTGACCAGCCCCTACCCCAACATCCCCTCGCCGCTCGCCCAGGCAGCCCCTTCCCCCACCCCCGGCCCGTGCACCGGTCCCAGCTCCGGTCGGTACCTGTTCCGCCGGTGGCGCCCAGCCGCCCCTCCCTGGTGGTGGCGGGGCCGGGGTGGCCTGGGGGCGGGCCCGGGGGCGGCGCCGTGACAGGGGGTGGCGTGCTCGTGGCGGAGCGGGGGTGCGGGCTCACACGGGGGCGCGGGGCGGCGCGCGCCCAGTCTGGCCGAGCGTCGCGCACCGCGAGGCCGCTCCACAAGGCTGCACTCCGCTCCGGGAGAAGGCCGCGCACGACCGCGCCGAGCCGCGCACCGCCCGTTCGCAGTCAACAAGGCCCATCGCGTCCAGCGCGTTCTGGGCGCCCTCGTGTCCTCGTGCGAACCTATACCGCGCCGCCATCGGAGAGGCGATCCTCGGGGAACAACGCGGAATGTCGCCACTTCTAGCATCGCCGGACCCAGGGTCGTGTTGAGGGTCATGCCCGAGCAGAGATGCGCCACCTGGACGACAGGTAGGCGAGGCTGTAGTGAACGAACGCCTTCTGGGGACCACCGATCACTGCCCTGTCCAGGATTTGCTGCGCCGTGTGTATTTTTATTCGCCTGTGCAACCTGACCATAGCAGGTATACCAGGTGTATGGCCGGGCCGACCTACCCCGTCTACCCCATCATGAACCCTTACGGCCATGCTGGATAGGCAACCCACCCGGTGTCACACCTGCGTGGTAGGACTGGACTTGCCCACACTGCCCACACACTCACAATCCCGCTACCACCAAACAGCGTCTCGTCGGCGGCCATGGGAACGCGGTGACTGGCCCCAAGTCGTCAACAGTGCAACGACAGTCGTTACGTTCGCTCGTGAGCAGGGAGGGAGTCTCCGTCGTGAAACACAAGAAAAGGGGTATAAGAGGGGATGAGGGGAAGTGAGGGGATCGATTTGAAAGGCCCGGGGGCGGATGGCCCATTGTCATGCACATCCCCGGCGGTGCGCGGGCCCGGCGTCATACTTGGCTAACGGTCAGCACGAGGTGAGCTAGGGCAGGACAGCGTTGACTACGACGGCGGCCAGGATGGTCTACTCGTCAAACAAGCGACGCCATCAAGAAAGGCCGTATCGGGGGTGCAGGAATGGCGGAATGGCGCCCCGGTGCCGAGCCGGGCCAAAGGGGGTAGAGGCGGGCCTGGCACGCGAGGGATGCCCCCGCCCCGCCCCTCCACGCACCCTCGCTGATCGGGCGCACCCCCTTCGCGGCACGCATCGTGCGTGGACAAATGAGGCTAAATATCCCCGGGGCAACCTTCCGGTGACACGGCACAGGCCTCGCGGCAGTCGGAACGGGGACGGTTTGAGGGGGTGTGCTGTGCAACGGAGCTCCTATGGCCATGCCATCCCCGCTGTCTGCCGAGATAACTAACACTCCTTTTGCGTGACCGCAACGGGGAAGGAGGGGTGGGGGGCTGACCACAGAACGTGCGCACCTGGGAGGTAGGTAGGAGGGCGGCAACCAGGTCAGAAAGGGGCGCCGCAGGGGGCTGATGAGGGTCAAGCACCCCCTCGACCCGGAAGAAAATTAGAGAGCCACCCCGCGCCCCGCTGGCCGCCGGCGCCGTCAGCACCAGCCCCGGCGGCAGCGCCAACAGCCCCTCCCCCGGAAGGAGAACCCAGCACCACCGCAAGCCTGGCAAGCCTCCTTACCTGCCGGCCGGGCCCGAGGAGCCCCCAGGGCGTGTGGGTGCGGGGTCACTGCCCCCCGTACGCAGCGGTGGGGACGGGCGCTGCTGAATAATACGGAACACGACGCGGGCGGGGCCGCGGTATGGGCCGCGAGCGAGTCGATAAGTAGCAGAGCGGACCCATAGCGCCCCAAGTATTTTTTTTTTAAGCGCCGCGCGCATAAGAAAGAAAAACGCCATGCGTGCCGCTGCGTTCAGCGGCTCATTTGCATACGTATCGTTATCGCTCATCGGGTCGGGGCGCACGTGTTCGGGTGGCGAGGCGTGGTGCAGAGTGGCACGGCATTTAGTTCACAAACCTCTCAATTCCGTGCTTTATTCCCGTTCAAACCGGTATAGTCTCCAGTGAGGAGTCTCTCTGGGCGGCGAGCTAGCGGCTCGCTGGTTACTAACCCCGTCTCACCTCCTGCCCCTTGCCCTCCCCTCATCCTCCTCCCTATGAGCACGAGCGAGCGCCACCAGACGCACACGCGCCCCGGCCGTGCGCGGGGTTTCGCATGTGAGATTGATGGCGAGGCAGTAACTCGCACGCACGGGTCCCGCAGGGAGGGCCGGGGACAGGCCGGGGGAGGCGGCGTCGCCGGGGAGAGGCTCATGAAATATTTGTCGCCTTTCACTCATGGCGGTGAAAGGAGTGGTGCGACAAAGAGGTGAACCCCATGAGGGCGGCGACCGTAGGGAAGGGACTAGAGGGCGGCAGGGGCTGGAATGGTGGCAATGACCATAGGGGTCGCCTACTGTGCGTGGTGGTGGTGGTGGTGGTGGTGGTGGATTTCAGGTCCTGTTTCATTCCACTACACTAGGTGTTTAAGGGTGGGTTTGCCTGCTTCCTTCGCCCGCAACATGTAAGTGCTACGACCCGGGTTTGCCTACTCGCTCCATGCGTGTAAAAAATAATCGCCCAAAGGATAATACAAAATAACTAAGGAGGACTACGAACCAATAAATTACGACATTTTTCACCCCTACGTGCGCACGCCGCCGTGTGTCGAGGGCGGGAGCGAGCGCCGGCGCAGGCCGGGGTAGGCCGCAGCCCGACCCAGGTGCACGGCGCGCGGCCTACCCGCCAGGCGACCCTCCGCTCCGTTGTACGCTCCCACCGCCTCACCTGGTCGGGCGCTGCCGCCCTCTTGGCGCCGCCAAGCCGTCTTTGGGGCTGGCTTGCAATCGGCGTGGACTCCACATGTACGGGGAGCGGGATCAATATCTTGCCGCACCCAGCTGCATTGATACGCCATTACTATCAATGTTAAGGAAAACTTGCGGGAGAGGTGAATGAATAGACAGGCAAACAACGCTATCCTGACAACAAAAAATCGGGTTGCTGACGTCAACACGAAGAAATGATAAAAGACACGTCCTTCCAGTGGCGGACTTGTGTGTGTGTGTGTGTCCGTGGGTGGGGGGGCGCAGAGGGGTCCGGGTGAAAATTATTGCTTG